ACTCAGGTACTCATTACTCATGTCACCCTCACAGCTGAGAAGTTTTTGCTCATATTCATATGGAATTTCCTGTGCTCCAGTTTGTGTCTGTTGCCCCTTGTCCTGTCACTGGGCACCACTGGGAAAAGTCTGGCCTCATCCTCCTCTTGACAGCCACTCTTAGGGAATTTGCCTGTATTGGTAAGGTTCCCTCTCAGCCATTTCTTCCTCAGGCTAAAGAGGCCCAGTTCCCTCAGCCTAATTTGCTTGTGTTGGTAAGGTTCCCTCTACAGCCATTTCTTCCTCAGGCTAAAGAGGCCCAGTTCCCTCAGCCTTTCTTCATGAGAGAGGTGCTCCATTGCCCTTCCCTGTCCTTCCTTGTCTGTCTTGAGCTGGGGAGCCCAGACCTGGAGGCAGTGCTGCACATGTGGCCCCACGGGGGGATCACCTCTCATCCTGCTGGCCACGCTCCTCCCCACACACCCCGGGATACCACTGGCATCTTTGGCCCCTGAGGCACTGCTGCCTCTTGGACCCCCTGTTGTCCACCCAGTCCTGCAGGTCTTTCTCTGCACAGCTGCTCTCCAGCAGGGCAGCCCCAGCCTCTGGGGTGCTGTGAGCAGCTGCCTCAGTGCAAACTGCTTATAGCAGCAGCTGAAACATCCCTGTGGGATCAATGTGGTTCTCATCCTAAATGCAGAATTTAGCACTGTGCCCGTCTCTAGGAAGGGAATTATCCTAGCAGAAACCAGGACACCCACTAGTGACTTCAACTTACAGAAATGGTCAGGTCTAAGAAATAGAACTGGGCTGTTTCCAGAGCTTTAATGCCTCATCAGAGAGGGTTTAGAAGCTGCATTTGATGCAGTTAGATTGTGTATAAACCACATTGCTGGGCTTAAAGCAAGTGTCTTTTACAGCACTATTCCTACGCACAGCATGCCCTCAAATCACAAATATTTACATTTCATGAGACTGGATGCTTTGTTGTGCTCTAGACAGTTGTCAGCAAAGTTGACAAAATCAGGTAGTGAGAGGGGAAGTTTTTGCTCTGTTAACCTGTGTTCTGTTGGCAGCTTTTCTGCAGTCCTTTTCTGATTTCCATGGCAGAATGTAACAGCATCAAGGTGCTCTGGGGCTGCGGTGGCATCTGAAGAGCCCCTTCAAAGTTAGTGCTCCTTGTTTTGTCTTCATTTAGCTGTGTAAAGAAAAACATGGAAAATACAAGTGTTAACTGGATTGCAGAGAGTAGGAAACAGGCTGTAGAGACCATTCTCAAAAAGATGAGCCATTTGCCAAAACATGCTTCACCTCATACTGACGAATAATCTATTCACTCAATCCTGGGGGAAAATAAGAAATGGACAAGACAATGCAAGGGACATTGGGGAAATGCTTTTATATTGTTCTCTGTGGGCTGCCAGCTCTAATAATAAAATAACAAAAAGCAACTAAAGTTGCTACAGATACTTGTTAGAAAGATTCTTTGCTTTGGAGATGTTTGCATTTTAGATACCAGTGTTGATGGGTGGTGAGAGGTGCACGTTTCTGCCCTGGTGCCAAGCTCAGCTTGGGTGGTCATGCAGGATCAGCACTTTGGGTGGAGATTTGTGGTACTTTAGTAGAAGAGAGATGTGCTGAAGACATTAATTATATGTTTTCATATACTAAGATGTGCAATACATAATTAAACATATACATTATCCATCTTTAATGATATGTTGTATCATTATATTGTTACATATGTTTTGATGTAATCCAAGAAAAGTGTGGAGTCTACATGTGTAAGCTTTTGTAAGAAGGCAAATATTGATACTGCTGAAATCATTATTTTATTTGCCTACCTACTGGAAGCTCAATGCAGGCAGTCTAATTTTCTGAGGCAGGTGTCATAAATTATAATATTAGCTTTGGATCTGTTAGAAGAACTGTCCTCATATGAATGAGGACTAGTTCAAGATTTTAAGTTTATGCAGTGTATGAGTACCCCCAGTTTTACAGCTATATTCTGTCTGTTTCTGGTTTCACAGGATTTCATTAGTTATTGCCAAGGCTGAGATTTTCATGGTTCAGTGCATTAAGTCGTGTTGGTATTTTTTGGGTTTTTTGGCTCCATGTCAGATTAAACTTACTTGTAGGTGGCTGCAAGGTTTTCTCCATTAATAAACCCACATTTCTCACATTGCTGCTCTCTTTCCAATGGTATCAGTGGTTGACAGGCAGTGATATTTTTCCAATCTTGGCAACAGGCTGTTGCTGTGGTAGAGGCCATTGTTCACTAATGGAGACTTGCTTTCATAAAGTAATCTAGAATTTGTAAAGCATTCCTTCTTCTGCATTTGCTTTGCTGTGTTTTGAGCTTGTATTTTTCAATTAATTACAGTTTCTTAAGCAGACAATGTAGGAGACCTGTTTGTAATTGAGTCTAGGCCATTATAACAGAGGAAAGGAAACAAGTATATAAAGGTACTTGTGTGTCTCCTTTTTATTATCTGTGTGGCTTTCAAGCTTGGCTTCCTGCTCCTGATAATAATTTTTCATGTTTACCTGGCAGGAAAAGAGTTTCAGCTGGTGAATTATATGTTGTCAAAATTGAGAGGAATTAGCTCTTGAATTTCTTTGATTTCTTTGATAAGTGACCTATTATTGCATTTATTTTCTCCACAACTTTTCCTTTGATACTGTTGTAACCTAAATGTTTGACACCAGATGCTACCCAAACTTTCTCAGGTTTGGGGAGTTTGTGCCTGCTAGGTAGTTTCCCTGGCTGTATGGCAGGCCCCTTGTTTCCCAGTGGACTCTGCAGTGGCACACCTTTCCCTTCAGATGTTTGGGAGCTGAGTGCTGGAAGTATTTCGGTGTGCCTTGCCCTCTGACATTCACCTTTGGCTCCCCAGCACTTGAGCCCTGGCAGGAGGCAGGGTAACACAAATAGCTGTGGGTGGCACAGCAGTTGCAAGTACATGTAAGTAAACCCAGTGGGGAGAGGAAGGAACACGATTTCCTAAAACTCCTAGAACAAACGTGCCGATTTTAGAGGAGGGACATTTTCTTGGATATCACACAAAGTTCAAGTTGCATTTGGTCCCACCCCCAAACTCTTAGATGCTGCAGACTTACTCCTCTAACAACACTAAGGAATGCTTTATTTCTTTGGAAGTGCCTCTGTCATCTTCTGGACCTTAATGTCCACTTTAATGCCTGGCTCAGGGAATGTTTAATGCTCTTGCTGCTGCTGTGAGGTACCTGCATCACCCAGCAGGTGTGAGAGCACTTACTGACACAAACAACTGAAGGAGTTAAATGCAGAGAGCTCATTGTTTGTTCTGGTTTACATGACAGCAGAGAACACCTGGTTGGTGTCCATCAGTATCCTGGCTCAACTTGGAGTAAAAACCTGGGAATATATAATTCAGGCAGTAAAAATGATGATGATGTAGATGTTACTCTCATGTATTGCAGTGGATCCAGCAGCATCTCTAAGATGTTTTTACTGTGATTTAAAAAATATCAGGCGTGCTTTTTTAATCAATACAGTTATAATCAATAAATTATATTAATCACATCTAGTGTCAGTTCAGAAGCTGTGATATAGCAGTTGTTAGAAAGAAACTTCAAATGTTTATACTTTGTATTCACAGTTGGAGATCAGGTTCTTTATTATAGCTGTGTTATTCCTGAAGAGTCGACACAGGATGTTTTTAGCACTTCATAGAGGACTGTCAGACACCTTCCAGGTTTCTGGCTGTGCTGGCTGATCTGTAAATATAGCTGGAGGTGGCACAGAGCAGCCTTTGAAAGCAGAGCTGGTGGTGCACCAGAGACACAGCTCCTGCACAAAATGCCCAATAGCTCCTGGATTGTTTCTTTGCTTTTGAGGCAGCGTTCACATTTTCATCTTTGTTCTCACCCCAGCTTAGTTCAGTTTGCCTTGCAGATCAACTCCCTGCTTGCTCTGGGTAATGTGCCAAGTGCTCAGCCCAAGATTAAGTTACAGCCAGAGCTGCTGGACATGAAGGCACTGTAACTGTAGATGTCTGTGCTTATGTTTCAGCCCTGCTGCAACTGAATTCAGAAATCTTAATGGGAAACCTCAGTGGCAGAGTTTAACTTGAAAAAAAGAGCTTTAAGCTTATGATGCAGATTTATAGTTCTTTTTAGTGCATTTAACTTCTGGGGGTTTTTTAGTAAATTTTAAGGCAGAGAGGGTTAAGCTGACAAACTTTCTCATGCAAGTGGTGGAGGCTCCTAGGCCTCAGAAAGGATGGTGGGTCAGTTGACAAGTAGTGACTAGCTTAAGAACTATCCCAGTTCTTAAAAGCATGTGAAAATAATCTGCACTGTTGACATATGTAAAATTGCTTCAGTTGTTGTTAGAGTTGACTGCAAATAGTAGGAAGTACAAACTGCAGAAAAATTAAACAAGTTTTCCTTCTTGTTCTTTCTTCCAGATTTAGAACGTGCTGTCAGAAACTTAAAGTGTTAAGTATTTTAAAGGTGGTGTTTGCTTTCTCTGTTTTATTTTAAATCTGTTTTACAGTTCTTTTGACCTACATATCTAACTGGACACTTTGCAGTAAGGATTGAGCTTCTTCATTCTAACATCTTATACTAAATTTTTGACTCTTCAAAGTTGCCATCCAAAGCAGCTTTTTCTAAACTTGTAGATTTCTTAATATTTTAAAGGTTCAAAGCATATTCTTTACATTTCAAGCAGTTCTATTTGCCGAAGTTGGTATTTTAGAATTTTTGTGTTGTCTGTAGTAGAAAACAGAGCTTGCCACAAGCAGTAGTGTTTTATCTCCAGAAAAGACTGTTAGGGCTCAGTGATGTGCAAGTCCAGAGCTCCAGCCTCCTGCTCTACCCAAAGGTAAAAAAAATCAATTCAATATTACAGTTTGGATGAAAACTTGTTAAAGATTCCATGAGATGTTGATGATGTGATCATTCTCCAAAGCAAATACACTAAACTATGTTAATATTCACACTAACAGCAACTGTTTTGCTTTCTTTTGGTGCAGATCACCAGAAACTGGAGAGAGAAGCTAGAATCTGTCGCCTCCTGAAGCATCCTAATATCGGTAGGAACATTTCATTGCTTCGTACAGTATCAGTTTAGGAAGTTTAGGGGAAATGGGAAGTAGCAAATACAAAGAGCAGCTCAGAAATCAAGTGCAAATATTTCTAGGCAAGACTCTTTCTTTATAGTGTGGTGTTCCTTACAAATTCTGCTGTGGATGCAATAATCTGATGGATCACCTGCAGCGGTGTGCAGTGTTCTCATCTCCGAGCCATTGCTCTGCCCCCAGTGAGCTCTCTGTGCCAGGTGTTTGTGGGGATTGGAGCAGTGTGCAGGAAGGGGCTCTTTCCAGGATTGTTCATGATTTTTGGAGACCTGCAGAAGAATTTTAGCCAACAGTGTCTGTTGCACAATGAGACAGACCAATGTCAATAATTAGTGCTGGTTTTAGTGAGATGCTTATTTTATACTGTATTTTGTGTTTAAGATTCCATCCTTCCAAGCTGAAGAAAGCTCTGTTCTTTTTATTTCCAGAGTTGTGTGTTCTAACCATGTAAAACAAAAAAATAAAAGTTATTTTGGGGGGTGGGGTGTGTCTGTCTCTTGCTTTAGAAACAGTGTAGACAGGTAAGTACCTTTATCTTAAGAGAGTTGCAGCTGAGTTTTCCAGTTTTTCATACACTGAATCATATGCTAAGGGTATCTCTCCCAAGAATATTTGCTGTACCTGAGACTTCTGCAGAAGGGTGGGAATTTCCTGTTTGTTATGGCATGTTTAGACTAATAAAATTGTTTGGTGTCTGTGATGCCTTAAGTTTTAGCTTTCATATTTTTCAGATTCTGTGCTGCTTTGGTGCGTAACTCTGAACTTTGTGTAAAGTGTTAGCAAGTCCTCTTCACAGGGTAGTTAGACAAAACAATCCTTTTCCAGCCCAAGAACAAGGACATCATTGTACTTTCAGGCCCAGAGAAGTATAAACAATGGAGAACTGAGGAGAGCAGTCTGGGAGGATGGGACTTCATAAGCTGAAACTGTAATTGGATCATTAACCCCAATATGTAAATGGGCCATAACTTATAAAAGTGAAAATTTGTGACTCGTCATCCGTCTTGTGTCCATTTTGGGTCCATCTTGGGCAGAGCCACAGCCAGGCTCTTGTACTGCCCAAGGTGTATCCTTTGAAGGCCTTTGAATGAATAGCTGCTTTATTCCTTTAACTCTGCCTAGCCTCTGTTCCAGGTAGCCTCTTGAGGCATTGCAGGGGATGAAATCAGCTCCTTCCTTTTAATGATAAATAGAAAGTGAAAGCAAGTGTACCACGGCTCAAAATGGCATGTCAAATTTCTGCAGCATCCCTCTTAAGCTTACAGGTTTGACCTAGAAATTTGGTTAAGGAGGAAGAGGAGTGTTGTGTGTGCTATTTTATCTCACCAAAGGTTTTGCATTGTAAAATGGTGAGAGAGAAGCAAATGTTCAAGTGCTTTTGGGGAGGTGTTGCAGCCCTTCTGCAGCTGTGGTTACACATATGGTGTAGTCAGACTCCTGAGCCACTCACCTGGGCCTTCCTAGAACCAGAACATATTCATGAGCTTCCACAAGTTGGGGAGAATGAACAAAAGACAAGAGTGAGCTGATGCAGGGGAAGGGCTGAAATGCACAGAACTCAGTTGAAACAAGAGTCTGAATCGGTTCCATGTGGTCACAAGTCTTCAGCGTGTCAAGTGGCTTGTTGAGCAGTGGAGGATGGAGTTCAGCTCCTCTATGGCAGGCCAGCTGTTCCACATGCACAGTTTGTATCTGTGAGGTTTGGCTTGGAGTGCAAACAGGCAATGACAGCTTTGGTGACAGGCAGGTAGGGCTCTGCAAGTCTGTGCAAACTCTGCATCACCACCTGCACCAAGGGGCACAGTTCAAGGGGAAATGGACAAAGTGTTCTGCTCCTGTTTCAGAAAAGCTGACGTGTTCTAGATCTGTCTGAGAGAAGATTTTCATGACCTGGAATTACCATGCTAGGGTTTGGCAGCAGATGTTCCTTCTCCTGCAGCCATGCCCTCAGCCAGCTAAATGGTGACCCTAAAATCATTCCAAGTGCTGCCAGCACCCCACTGGAGCTCTTATGCTTGGGTCACTATGACATCCCCTTTTAAGCTGTCATCTCTGGTGGGTAATGGAGCTGCATCACATCAGGAAGCACTGAGAGTGAAAAAGGAAGTGTGCCAGAGGAGGGGTGCTCAGCTCTGACAATAAGTGTGTGTAAATTAAGAAAAATAAGAAAAAAATGGTAACTTTTTTTCAGTGTGATTTCTGTAGGAAAGCAGAGGTCTAGTTTAATTGATGGGGTGGTTTCTCAAAGATGACAGTGTACAGGGAGTTATTTTTGGAAAGCTAAATAAGGCTGAATGTTAAATGATTCTGTTTCTGTGCAGTCCTTACTGTCCATAGTCATAGCCAAGAAGTGTCATGGAAATCTTCCTTGAAGAAGTTGTTTCACTTCTTCTGCAAGCAGGGCTCCAGTACATCTGTGAAATCTGAGCTTTTCTGTGCAGGCACTGCTTTGCACATAACTAATCCAGTTCATTTTTCAGCATCTTTCTTTTATTCGTCCTTTTAATAAATCTATGTTTTCTTCTCTGTCTAGCCTTGTAGTTATGGTGCCTAAAGAATAGTGTAGGAAAAATAAGGAAATTGGACTACAAACAGTATTTTCTGTTCTTCTTTTTCTCATCTCCATTTCCCACTTAAGTAATATATATGTGAAAGTTTGTTTAAAATCCACAGAATTTCCTCATCCTTTCCACTTACAGCTGCTCCTCACCAATACTCATTGCTGTGATTTCTACCTCTTCTTACCTCAGTCCTTTGTATTGCTGTAGTGTAAAGCAGGTACTGCTGAATTTTGTCTGGGAATTAAAATGAGGCACAAGCCTCATTAGCTGAACTTGCAGGCCTTGAGAAGAAACTTTGAAGTGGTTCAGAATCCTTTCTTTCCCATCAGTCTTTAGTATTTTCTCTTCCAGCTGTGCTGGAGTAATCTGGACTGAGCTACACTGCAGTAGGAGATTTCTAGGCATACACAGCTCGTGTTCCTGTGGTAACAGAGCTCCTGGTGTGATTTTCAGCACTGCTGTGTTTCTCAGGTTTTTACTCTGGTGGCATGGCTGTACATCAGTGTATAAAGGGCTGCTTTTACAGAGTTTAAAACGGATGGAAATGTAGGTTAAGCCTTGCTGTTTGGAGAACCTAGTGCTTTATCTTTGTGAGATTGCACATCAAGTTACAATAAAAGCTTACTTCCTTTGCTGAGCACGTACCTGCACAGGATTTGTCATCTTGGGTAACTATTACTTTTTCAGCAGTTCCATGTGTACTAATGCTCCCATTTTTTTTAATTTAGAAGCTTGGGAAGAAAATTGCTATTTAATCATCTCTTCACCAAGAAATCCATTTTCCTGATTTTTCTCCTTTATCTTCTTCTGGTAAACTTTGATTTCTTGGTCCTCTTTTAACATTAGGTAAAACGTAATTTTTAGCACTCTGATTTCTAGTTTTGCAATCGACATATTTTTGGTGGTGTGACACTGTTGCACCATCTTATCATGTTTGGCATGGATTTACAGCTGCTTTGCTGATTTTGGTTTATGACATCCCAAATAATGATAAAATCTGCATTAGTCTTGACAATACAGGCCCTGACCCATTCTGGCAAACTGCTGATTCAAACCTGGTAAAACCATGGAATTTTTTTCCCAAATGGAGTTTATTCTTGCAGGACTTGTGCTGTGCTTGGTAACGTTTTCCTAATGGAAGTGACACAGTCAAGATCTCTCTGTAAGGACTGGAGGGGCTTCTGCTGGCTTTGCATTCCCACTTTCTTACAACCCATAATTCCCTGCCTCTGCCACCTCCTCCCAGGCCTTACAGACAGTGTACAAGCTATGGCAGGCAGGCAGGATCCATTAGCCAGCAGCATCAGGCTCGAGTCTGACCGATCAATCTTCATCCCTTCGCCAAAGGCAGCAGCAGATTTTACTGACATGTGGCAGCCCTTCAGGTGATAAATGAAGTTCTTTTGGCACGAGGCCAGGCTGTCCCTGAAAGGCTCTGTGAGTCAGGGTACTTGGAGGTAAGTAGGGCTGCCAGGCACAGACTCAGCTCTGCTAGGCCTGAGCCTGTTTCTGTGCGTCTGCTGGTCCGGCCTCAGCCAGGCTGGGGCTGAGGCACGGCCACGAGCGTGCTCTGACAGCAGCAAGGCCTCCAACTTGCTTCCCAAGGCAGGCTGGCCTTGCAGCAGGCCAAGAGGCAACCTAGATGTGGAACAGACTTGGGACACAGGGAAAAAGACAAATAAATCCCTTATGTGGTTTCATGAGTGTGCTGGTGTCCATTTGGAGTCTGCTCATTTCCATGCTTTGAGCTGGGATCTCCTCATCAATGGCTGAGGCAATTGGGAGCACCCAGACTTGGCACTGCTCCTCTCCACGCTCTTTTGCCACAAGAAAAGGAGGAAAAGCCTGCATTTTGGGGTTACTTCCTCTCCCCACCATAAGACAAAACACCAGCACTGAAGTTGTTAAGTTCCTCGTGTGGGGAAAAATAAGAAACTGTATTGACTTGTCCTTTTGGAACAGAGGGTAATTAAAACTGGGGGGGATGTCCTTTATGCACAAAACACAAGCACTGAAGTTGTTAAGTTCCTCATGTGGGGAAAAATAAGAAACTGTGTATTGTCTTGTCCTTTTTGAACAGAGGGTAATTAAAACTGGGGGGGATGTCCTTTATGCCCAACAATATGTCCTTTATGTTTATATTCACCAAGTATGTGCATGACACTCCAAGTATCTCAAGAGAAACACTATTAATATATAGAAAATGTGGATGCAGTAACTCCTTTTTGAATTTCGTTTGTCTTACTGTGGCACAGCTGTGAGTAGCTCAGCTGGTGTTAGTTAAGTTATTCTATAAACCAAACACAGGGTAAAAATCAGGCCTGTTCAGGTTCAGTGGATGTAGTTCTTTAGCACAATTTTTTTTCTGAGGTTAATTTAAGGTTTTACTTTATG